GGGAGAGGTGGAAGTTTGTCAAGCAAAGAGGACCTGCCTTCTTAAAGGAATTCAAGTTTTAAAACTGATTAAATGACAATCTTGGTTGGAGCCCCTGGCCTGGAGGGAGAAATCTAGGAACTCTGGAAAACCTGACAGTTATCCCACCTACAAGTGACTCCATGAAATGAGTTATCAAGACAGGTGTAGATAGGTGATCTCATACAAGAACTGCATTCTGGTCAGGTTCAACCCCAAAGGAATCCCTTTGCTGACCACAGTAGTTTGTGTCCTTTCTTAATTCTGGCTTTGTCATCCATGATGATGAGCCAGTGTCTTGGAGGACACTTACTTCAGAATCTAGAGTCTTCTGTGTCATATTATAGGCAAGTCAGGTGTCTTTTATGCAATTCTCACTCAGCAGATGAGTCAATGTCTACCCTAGAGGACCTGGACACGGCCCAATTAACTTAAAGTCACAAGTTAGTGTTCTACAAATCCACGTGAGTACTGCATGCTATATTTAATACAAATCTGTTTTCCCTATGTTTAAAGACAATTAATATTCTGAAGCAACAGTTTCCTCATTTGGAATAAAACTACCACGTGTGCAGACCCACCCATCTCCCTACTTTTGTCCTTTGCAGCTTCTCTTCCTTCAGCCCCTGGGCCATCACTGAAGTAGCAAGGCCAAGGCCCTGCCCCTCAGAAGTTGCCAGAAGACCACATATGTGCTCTGTCAACACCTACATGTGACAGTCCTGGGCAGAGGTCCCAACCCTCCTTCCTGTGCATCTGGGAACAGGTGAGCTCACTATAAAAAGAACCTGAAGGCCCAATAACCTGCCACTCTTGAGAGTCCTATGATGCTTTATAAGGCCCAAAACACCCAAGACCCAAGATCTAAAGGTTTCTGCACATATGCAAACATGTCTTCTGTAAGAGGGTGCAATGACCCACATATGCAGAATCACAGGACTGAATACTGAGGGAGATTTCCTCTATTCTGAAAATAAAACAAAACAAAGATTGCTTTTCCTGTCCCCTACCCCTTAGCTAGGTGAACCAATGTGGATGTGTCTTATTTACTACAACCTATAGGAAACAGTGACTCACATCTGTAATCCCAGCTATTTGGGGGGCAGAGATCAAGAGGATGGCAGTTTGGAGTCCATCCTGAGCAAAAAGTTAATGAGACCCTATCTATCTCACCTAAGAAGTTGGGCATGGTGGTGCACATCTGTGATTCCAGCTCTTTGGGAGGCATAGGCAGGAGAAGTGAAGTCCAAGGCTGGTCATGGGCAAAACTGTGAAAACCAATCTGCCAAAAAAAAGGAGCTGAGAGGTATGGCTCAACTGGTAGAGTACCTACCTAGCCAGTGTAAGGCCGTGAGTTCAAAAAAAAAAAAAAGACGCACCCCAACACTCTCCATGCTTTTGGAAGCTCTCTTTGGAGAACCTGAAAGAGACAATGCCCTCTTCAGAAACCTTCTCTTCACTCGTGCCCCAAATAAAGTGCTGGGATCCTGACCTCCTTCCAGCTGCCTCACAGGGAGCTGGAAACATCATTCCCAAAGGACTGCCAGGCCTTGTCCTGAAGAGCAGTCCAGAGCCCAACGTCTGAAGAACAGACATGGGCTTTTAAACTCAAGAGAAGGTCAAAAATAACCACTATAAAAATGGTGGTGATTTGCAGAATGGGACCACCAGCATCTTTCTTTGTGGGGCCCTTCCATGTCAGGAAATGCACTGTTCTGGCTGCATTTTGTAAACTGCTGCTTCACCTGCAAAAGGGTGAGCATATTCTTTACTAAAAGCACTGTTTAAAAACAACAGAGAAACCACATGGACAAAAGCCTGAGTCAATCTGTTTTAAGCAAGGACTAGGCATCTGACTTCAGCCCACTCTTTCTTTATTAAAGAGGGTAATATACAAAATCAATTTCCAAAGCAAGCAGCAGCTGCCTCCTCCGTAGTCTCACAGAGGAAGACCTGAGGACCAGAGCTCACAGGTGCTGCTTTAAGGCACTCACTCCTCTGTGAAATACTCTGGAGAAGGGATTGTTTTACTGCTTGCAAAAGAGAAAGTCATTTTAACCCTTAGTATATAATGCTGTACTTAGCCTCAATAACTACCCAAAAAAACTGCACCATAATAGTAACTCCTGCTGCATAAGAAAAATGAAAGAAAAACTGAGGGTACAATGAGAAGAGGTGTTCAGTTTGAAAGCATTTTCCAAAAACACTTTTACTTTCCAGGCAGGCATTCTATTTTTCCTCATACATTTGTAAAAGTAGATCATTAAGACACGATCCACGATGATATTTTCTTTTTTTTATTTTTTCTTTTTTTTTTTATTCATATGTGCATACAAGGCTTGGGTCATTTCTCCCCCCTGCCCCCACCCCCTCCCTTACCGCCCACTCCGCCCCCTCCCTCTCCCCTCCACCCCCTCAATACCCAGCAGAAACTATTTTGCCCTTATTTCTAATTTTGTCGTAGAGAGAGTATAAGCCATAATAGGAAGGAACAAGGGTTTTTGCTGGTTGAGATAATGATAGCTATACAGGGAGTTGACTCACATTAATTTCTTGTGCGTGTGTGTTGCCTTCTAGGTTAATTCTTTTTTGATCTCACCTTTTCTCTAGTTCATGACATTTTCTTTTTTTTTTTTTTTTAAGGTTAATAAAAGAAGCAGGCATTGGTAGAAAGATGGCCTGGCATGCAAGATGGGGCCATTTATTTATTTTTCATTTTTCTTTTATTATTCATAGGTGCATACAAGGCTTGGTTTATTTCTCCCCCCTGCCCCCACCCCCTCCCTTACCACCCACTCCACCCCCTCCCGGTCCCCCCCTCAATACCCAGCAGAAACTATTTTGCCCTTATCTCTAATTTTGTTGTAGAGAGAGTATAAGCAATAATAGGAAGGAACAAGGGGTTTTGCTGGTTGAGATAAGGATAGCTATACAGGGCATTGACTCACATTGATTTCCTGTGCATGGGTGTTACCTTCTAGGTTAATTCTTTTTTAATCTAACCTTTTCTCTAGTTCCTGGTCCCCTTTTCCTATTGGCCTCAGTTGCTTTAAGGTATCTGCTTTAGTTTCTCTGCATTAAGGGCAACAAATGCTAGCTAGTTTTTCTCTAGTTCATGACATTTTCTTTTTTTTTAAAAAAAAAAAAAGAGTAACTAGAAATTGGGCCAAAATGTAAGAATGGTGAATATATAATGAATTCATTGATAAAATCATATGCAGATTTTAAAATCATTTTAAAACTGTGATACTCAATACTTCTGAAGTTATAAGGCTATGTGGGAACATGTACGTATAATGATGAACAGTTTGTAAAACAAAGAAATACACAGAAACTCTTCTAGCTTCACTACCTGTGCACGAGCTATGGGAGCTGGGCTGAGGAAAAAGCTGTAAGGTATTTGCTTCAAACCTGGGCATTTCCCATATTGGTCCAATGTGGATAGTTTCCTATACCTGAGCCCTATTGCTGTTGCAAAGGCTACAAGAAGCTCTCTCCACTGAAGAGCAACCCCTGACACCACCCTGATGGCACCACCTTGGAAAACAGTATGGCCTCATGTAGTGCAGCTGAAGACATGGCATACCACAATGCAACAGGTATATACCGAGGCTGGGCAGGATGTTGTTCCACTTTTTTGTATACATTCCTATAAAAAATTGTGCAAACTCTTATACACTTTTGCCTATTATCACCTAGAGCTAGGGGTGTATAGTGCAGTGATAGAGTGCTTGCCTAGCATGGCTCAAGGCCTTGCGTTCCATCCCCAGCACCACATACCAAAACAAGCAAACAAAAAACTATCATCTACAGTTTTTATTATAAATCAGTTAGTTAACAAACTAATAAAATAGTTGCAAAGGATTAGATAAATTCAAGTATTATTCATTATTCAAACACTGATCTTTTAAAATAAATAATAAAACTTGTACTATACTTTTTAAATGTATCCATGGGAACAAAAACAACCAAGTATACATTTTAATGATTATTGAGCAAACTGCTTTTAAGTGTTAAGCATTTTATATAATTTCTTCTCCTGGTTTTCCTAGAAATATTAATTCTATTCCCTAATGTACCAGATAAAACAAATACATTTTTATGCTTCTAAGTTTTTGTAATTGATCATGCCATTATGCTTCTCTATAACAAAATATGCAAACATTCACATTTAATTTTTTTCTTCCTATTGAATTTTTTTCTGTGACTATTAACATTTTTATCATAGATTGAGTTATCAGTCATAAAAATAGTAGCCAAAACTGCCTGAATAACATAATTGTGGTATACTTTGATCAATTTCAAACATAAAACATGAGACTGCACTGCTAATAAAACTCCTAGACTATGAATGTAGATGGGTGTGCAATGTTTGGACATGCCCTCCCAGAGGAAGGTGGCATGTGACACCTGTCCATAGTCAGATCCAGGCTATGGGGACCACTGGGAACTGAGGGTGTGGAAATACAGCCTCTTAAAGATGAAACAAATGGATCAGATTTTACTCCTCAATCTAAACTTGGTTTACTTTCATTTGCCAACTGCACTGATACCTCTGCAAGTCAGCTTGTAAGTGGACATTTGAATAGCTCGTTCAGGTGGCTGCCCTCCTGGCTGAACGTCATAGCCAAGGATGCAGGCAGCAGACTGAAATTGCTGGGCTAACCCTAGGGCTACTTCCTTGGAATTATGTATGGGACTCCACATCTGCCCTTCTTACTGAGCCCAGCCTCTAACAGGAGGGCTGTGTAGTCCTTGCTCCTGAAACGGTGAGCCTGCCTGAGCCAGTGAGCATACACTCATTCCAGATAAGAGTCCCAACTCTCCCAGGTTGACACCTAGACTCAATTCATATCCTGCAGCCTCTGCAAGGGCAGACCCCACATGGAAGAAACTGACAGGTCCATGTCCACTCTGCCCATCTCCTCCTCCCACCTACACATTGTTGGGAATGCAGGGACTCTGACACCCTGGCCTCTTACCTCCCATTCACCACACTCTGCTTCTCCAGCCCACTGGGCAGAACCACAGTAACATCCAGGGTGCTATTCCGCAGCGCCTCCTTCATGTGGACCAGGTTCTGCTGTGAGCCAAGGGCTGCAGGGTTCTGTTCACCATGCACACTCAGGGTAGCAGGCTTGCCAGGGGGCAGGGGGGCCCGAGCCTTCATCTTCCTCCTTGAAAATGATGACACAGAAGCACTGGATGAAGTGTCTCTCAGTAATTAATTCTTATGAGCATTCACGTTTGGCATCTGAAAAACGTGGTGAGCAGCAGGGTTTTTCTAACTCAGTGTATCAGCAGTCTTCATTGCTAACAGATTAACATCCTCCCTAAACAAGCAAAAACTAAACAAGTCAAAATAAAAATAGAGCAAGCATTTGTGAAAGCAACCATTCCTGGCAAGAAACATCCTAAAACTGTAGTCACCATCAGGATGCAGCACTGTCCTACCTTCTACAGGCCCCTGGTCCAGACATGCGTGGGTATGCTGAATTTGTGTGGCCCAGCTCTGTTTGAACTGTAGATGGTGACAGGTCACAACTAAGTTGTTGGGTGTCCCAATGGTTTGCAAAGCTTTCTTTTCAATCCTGCCCCAACTCAGGATCCAAGACCAGATCTGAGGATCTTGAATCCATCGATCCTTGACATTGGATTCACTGGGACCATATCAAGCCATACTACCTTAACCAGAAAGTCCCTCCCATCCTGCATCCAGCATCCAGTGACACAGTCATGGGATATGGACGTGGCTGTTCACCTCCAAAGAATGCTCATTCATGGTAGTGTCTTAAGATGCACCCTTTTCATCTTTGTTTTCACCTGATTTTGAACTGTGTCTTGAATGCCCCCTTCATCTTGAAGATGACTTCTCAGTCCCTCCGAACATGTCACCCACATGGTGAACATTTTTACATGTTCTGTTTCTTCACAATTAGCAAGGAAAAGCAAGTGACCTTATATTAGACAAGCATTTTATTTTATATAGAGAACATATATGTATATATATATATGTGTAAGAATGTGTTTATGTATATATACACATGTATTCATGCATGTATATGTACAAATATATATATAAAGAGAGATATAAATGAATACCTATATACTTATGCATTTATGTATTCAATTATATACAAGGACCTTATTTTATAGAGATCCTGGGCATTTACCATTCTAGTAATAGATAGACTTTACTCAGCATTTAACATGGACCTATACCAATAATAACCTTAGTTATTCACCTAATGACCACTTTATTCAGTAGTTATCTCATTCAGTCCTCAAAATATTCTGCAGCTGAGAAAAATCAACCTCAGAGAAGTCCATAGCTCTCCATAAGACCCAAAAGAAGTGGAAACCAGACCCTGCTGACTCCCAAGAGCTTCTCCTACCCACCTCCTCCCAACACTGCAGAGGCAAGGGAGCCCCACACGCACCCTAAGCTCTGCTGCATGGCCATCTTCTTAGTGTACTTTAGCATGAGGTGGCAAAGACATAGGAATTCTATTTCTAGATATGTATCCTAAAGAAATCATCCCATAACACTGCACTGTGGGAGGTTTACAGATACTCGTTATGACATAACTTCTATCAGCAAACAAATACATAATTTAACTAAATGTTGATGCACACACCAAACAAATAAATGGTCCAACCATAAATCAATAAAAGATAATGCCAATAAATTATGATGTGATGTTATTCCGGCCTAGTTAATTGTTTTAAAATATATTCCATCCAATGAGGGAAAATGCTCAATGGAGATTTTTTTGAAAAACAATCTTGAAAACATTATTTGTTTAGGAAAATTATGTTTTTAAAGAGAGGTCTATATCATAAAACAGTCTAGAAAGAAGCAGTAAAGAATTAGCAATAATGGCCTCTTGGAGATGTCAGGAATGACATATATTTTGCTATTTTTTTTATTTCTACATGTCTTAATTTTCCTGTAATATCTCCTATATACATATTACTTTTAAAATGAAAGAGGTCATTTTAAAATAGGAAATAAAACAGCAAATGGGAATCAGAAGTGACTGGGAACTTATTCCCTTCACTTCACTGCTTAATATAAGACTCTGAAATAACAATTTAGGCCTCACCCTCTGCTATGAGAAGTAGATTTAAATTAGTGCTCCTTTTCCTTGTTAAAAGTCTTACATTTATATCACAATGTTTATAAATTTATGCTGCATTCTTATCTATTATGTGATTTTTATCTTTTCATTTTATAGAAATAAAAATAAAATGAGACAGGACGCTTTACACTGTTCTGAGGGCTGAACACTTATCAATTCATGTGCTCCTGTCTATACCATTCTGGGGTGGAGGTACAACTGCTAGACTGTTATTCCTATTTTATAGATAAGAGGTGGGGGCTCACCCTTCCAAAGTCACAGAAAGGCACAGCCAACATCAAACCCAGATAATTAGATTCCGAAGCCTGAAATTTTAATGACTCCATTAGTCTGCCTGGATGAGGGAGGACACAAGTCATCCCATTTTAGAGACGGAAAAATTAAGACAGACAGAAACAGGCTTTGGGGGCTTTCATTAATCAACCTTGGATCCAGGGCTAGAAGCCAGTCTCTGAATTACCTCCCAAAGGTGCTTTCAGAAAAACATAATGTGTTCATTTGATAATTTTTATGGAAAGAATATATTTTCCAATTTAGCAGCTTGAACTCCTTCAGAACACAGAATCGAGCTAGAAGCAGCTACTGATGTACTCATGTATCTGGCAAGCCCTGTGATAGAGCAAGGGGCTGGAGACAGGCAGAAGAGGTTCCAACTGCCCCCTCTGCTTACCCCAAATAAGCAATCCATCCCCAATCACCCAGAGTCACCCTATGATATCATTTCATCCACCCTTTCCTACCGCAACCCACAAGTCCAAAACCTCACTGGCTAAGCCTGTAGGCTTAGCCAAACGCAGGCTGGGATAACCAACAAAGTATTTTCCTTTGCTCTAGCATCTTTCCAGGTGATTCTATTCTAGATTCCTTCTTCCCCAGTGTTTATTGAGCATGACTGCATGCATGTGTGTGTGTGTGCATGAGTGTGTGTCATGGGTGCACACACATCAAGGTAACCAACATTTTAAATGATGGAATAATTCATACAAAATAAAGTTCTGGTTCTTTCTGGAAAAGAGAAAAATTGGTAAGCTCCTGAATACTATCACAGCAAAAATCACCTGTGCTTATCCCTCAGTGACATCACATATCTGTTCCCTATAACTAAACCTCTGGAGTCCAAACTTCTGTACTCATCCTCGATCATGTCTTACTTCAATCTCCTCCACTCTCCCAGCAACTGGTCTGTAGTGCACTGCTCCCAGAAACCCCCCTGAAAGTACCCTTTCACCATACTCTGCCCTCCCGTGCTCTCTGTCATAGGTGTTCTGCTTTCGTGAAGACCACGTCTTCTGAGTACTGTAGGCCTGGGGACACATGTGACAGAAATCAGTGGTCTCCACATCTCTGCACTCAGCCTGAAGCACCAGGAGGCTAACAGTGCCCTGAGCCCATCACTGACCAAGTATATCTGATTATCTTGAAGTTAGCTCATGTCAATGGATTTCAACATTTCTTTAGAACAATGGACCCTTGTTAAATATTATGCAATTATAGCTAGAGTTTTTATATCATTTGATGAAATCAATTAACATATTGTACCAATCTACATCATTGAATATGTTGATAAATTTATCCACTGGTATTTTAGTTCACAGAATGACAACTGCATGTTTTTGAGAACTGCATATGAAAATTTTTCATGTCAGAAACAACACCTGAGGTGTGAATGAATCCCAGGACCCACTTCAGTAATTCAGCACCTGTAGGTGCCCAGACCTCAGGCAGAGAAAACCATGTCCTGGACACTAGACACATGGACCCTCTCAGCCCCATTATTATGAATCTTTCTGTAAAAAGGTAAGTACATCTCACTTCTTTATTACTGAAAGACAGGAGATGCTATACTGTGTGTAGTCTCAACAGGTAGCACCTTGCTCTTTGTATTTGTAGACACAGGTTAGTATCCCTTATCCAACGTGCCTAGAACCAGAAGTGGATTTGATTTCATACTTTTTCAGATTTTGGACTAAGTACATTCAAGTAAGATGACCCAAGTCTAAACATGAAATTCATTTGTTTCATATATACCTTATCCACAGAGCCCAAATGCTGCTTTATTCAATATTTCAAATAATTTTGTGTGTGAATAAAAGGATTCATGGTCTGGAATTTTCCAATTATGGTGCCATGTTGATGCTAAAAGTTTTAGATCTTGGAGCATTTCAGATTTTCAGATTAGGAAAAAACTATTTTAAAATATTTATTATAGCAGGGCACTGGTGGCTCACACCTGTAATCTTAACTACTCAGGAGGCAGACATCAGTTCAAAGCCACACAGTTCAAAGCCAGCCCTGGGCAAATATCTCAAAAAAAAAAAAAGGGGAGGCAGAGCGGCTCAAGGGGTAGAGTGCCTGCTTAGCAAGCATGAGGCCGAGTTCAAACTCCAGTACCGCCAAAATGCTTACTGATGATGATGTTGAAAAAGCTAAAATTATGCACAGTTCCTTCCAAAAAAGAGCCCATGGACTTAGAAAAGCCTGAGAGTAATGAAGAAGGAATTACAGGAACAGAAATATTTCAAATGAGCAAGGATTTTAGCAGGAGAAGAAATCTGCTTAACTGCAGGGGTAAGGTGTTCACCTGAGGGGGTCTTGAGCATTCCTAAGGGTGGGTAAAAACGGGAGATAGGAGAGAAAGAGATGAAGGAAGGAAAGGGATGAAGAGAAGCCCCAGTTGGACAGTTTAGGTAAGGGATTAAAGAAAAAAAAATACTGTAATACACATCATAAGAGATGTTAAAATAGTACTTACAGGCTGCACCTGTTGTCAACTAGGTTTTCTTGTTTGTTTGTCTGATACATTGCTTGGGGATTTGTTTGTTTGTTTTGTTTTCTTTATGTGTGCTGGTCTTGAGCTCCTGGGCTCAAGTGGATTCTAAATCAATTGTTCTTTCCAAGATATTTGGGGTGTGCCTACATAGTTTTTCAAGGTCAGCAGGAATGGGTTGGGGCCAGGATGGTTTCATGTCTGTTTTGTGAGAGGAGAGACTCACATGCAGCTTTCTGTCTGGCAAGTAAGGCCTGCCGGTGATACC